AGTCTTAACTGGAGTTACTGGGAGAGATCATCTCTCTCCAGTTTTAGTTTCTCTCCATTGGCTCCCTGTCAAATCCAGAATAGAATTCAAAATCTTACTTCTAACCTACAAAGCTCTCAACAACCTAGCTCCATCTTACATATCAGATCTTATTGGTCCATATTTTCCTAACAGAGCACTTCGCTCTCAGGCTGCAGGTTTACTTGTGGTTCCTAGAGTTTACAAAAACAGAACGGGAGGCAGATCTTTCAGTTCTTAGGCTCCTCTCTTGTGGAACCAACTTCCAGTGTCTGTCCGTGAGGCTGACACATTGTCCAGTTTGAAGACTGGGATTAAGACTTTTTGAAAATCCTGACCCGACTCTCCTCCTGACTGGCTGCACAGGACCAAAGAAATATGCATCAATTGATATTTATTTTCTGTCCTGCAGGGGAATGTGACCTTCTCGTGTTCTCTGCCCCAGCTGGTGGCCTGCACCTTCCTGAGCTCCAGCAGCAGCATCCTGTCACTCCCACCTGCTGTTTCCCCCATCGGGGAGTTCTCGGTTCGGTTCCAGTTCAGGACCTGGAACCCTGAGGGGCTCCTGATGTTGCTGCAGCTCGACCCAAATCCACAGAAGCTGGAGCTGCAGATCAGCAACAGCTGGCTCCACCTGAGCCTTCACGGCGCCGGGCGACAGAAATCAGAGCTTTCTGCAGGTGAGTCTGGATCAGCAGCCTCCTCTGGACTGAAAAACTATCTGACGAAGCTGAAAGTGAGCTGTCAAAATAAAAACCATCAGAACAAAATATAACATTAGCTAAACATAAATTAAAAGCAAAGAGAATACTGCAAAAAGCACCCCCACAGACACTTGTTTAAAAGAAGTCCTAGTTCAGGTGTTAATCTGCCGTCAGGCCCAAGCCTCCCTTACAAAAGAGATCTATGATCTCAATGGGATTTGCTTGGTTAAATAAAGGTTAATAAATAATTCATTCAACCTTTATTTCTACAGGTAAATCCCATTGAGCCTCGAGGACTCATTTACAAGAGAGACCTGATTTAACAAAGAAAGATGACAACAATGGACAACAGCAACAACAATAAACAATTATAAAAAGTCATACTGCAGTTTTTTTTTGGTTGTTTTTTTTTACAAATAGGATGGCTAAAAGAAAAAGGTAACAAAACAAAACAAACAAAAAAAACAGCTAGATTCTAAGGCGAATGTAGAAAACTAAAAACAGGAACATGTCTGCATTGGACCCTGCCAGGAGTCCAACAGATTCTTAAAGCCACTTAGAGAGGTCAAAGGTCGAGAGCTTCAGATCTTTTTACAAGATATTCCAGGAAACAGGAGCGGAGTAGGAGAAGGTCCTTTTGTCTAGTTCAGTCCTCACTGAGGGAACACTGCAGGTAATGATGTCCTGACAGCGCACTAACAGAAACTGCTGACTACATCCCAGTGATGCTGACATCTTTGAAAACACCTGAACATTTATTTTAAATTTCATTACAAGACCAAAATTGCCCCCAACCCCACCCCTCCTAAAAATCACAGACAATGCAGGAACTGACTTAAATCAGCAAATAAATTAAATTAATAAGACAGAGAAATCTAAATTGGTCCCATATCATCTGGAAAAACGATCCATTCGGGATCTACCTAAATCATCTTTACATGTGTTGATCTAAATGTTGGTGTGGTAGTAGCTGAGAGTGATTGTTTTCAGGAGCAAAACGACTCAACAAACCATGATCTGAGTCTAAAATGCTGAAGAGGACGGAGTCCTGCCACAAAAGGTTTGAAAATATTTGTTGGATTTAAAAGGATCTTAAACCTTTATTCATACAGGTTAATCCAATTGAGCCTCAGAGACTCATTTACAAGAGAGACCTGGATTTAATAAAGAGTGATGACAAAAGAGGACAACAAAGACAACAATACACAATCATAAAAGATGCGTACAAATTATATATTTTTTAAACAAGTGAAAATAAAATGGCAATTAAAAGGAACAATAGCGGAAAAACACCATCCAGATTATAATGCAACGTAGAAAACTAAAAACAGGAATATGTCTGCATTTGTCCCTGCCAAGAACTTATCAGATGTTTGAAGCCACTTAGAGAGGTCAAAGGTCGAGAGCTTCAAATGTTTTTGTAAGATATTCCAGGAAACAGGAGCGGAGTAGGAGAAGGTCCTTTTGCCTAGTTCAGTCCTCACTGAGGGAACACTGCAGGTAATGATGTCCTGAGAGCGCACGCTGTAGCTGCACTCACACAGAGACATGTAGGAGGAGATTTTTGAAGGCAGCAGACCAGGAAGTGATTTAAAGATGAAGATGTACCAGTGGGAGAGTCTGTGTGAAGTTAATGATGTCCAGTTAACCAGTGAATACAGGGTGCAGTGGTGGGTACGGTAGTTACAGCCAGTTATGAATCTTAGTGCACCATGATAGACAGCATCCAACATCTGCAGCATCCAACATCTGCAGCATCCAACATCTGCAGGGTTCTTGTAGGAGCGTTCATGTAAATAATGTCACCGTGATCAATGGAGGGAAGGAAAGTCACAGATACAAGGTGTTCCTCAGGGTTCAGAGTTAGACAAGATCTGTTTCTGAAAAACAAACCCAGTTTAACTTTCAGTTTCTTTACCAAGTTTTCCACATGGAGCTTAAAAGAAAGATGTGAGTCGACCAAGATACCCAAATATTTAAAGGAATCAACAAACTCAATGGGGACACCATTTGAGGATAAAATCAGAGGAAGAACTGCAGGGACCAACTTCCTGTTTGAAAAAAAGCATCCCTTTGGTTTTGTCTGCATTTAGGACAAGTTTGAGGTGAAACAAATCAGTCTGGATGATGTTGAATGCAGATTTCAAAAGCTGGAAAGCCTTAGCAACAGTTTTAGCTCGACAATAAACAACTGTGTCATCAGCATAGAAATGTATGGATGCATCAGGGATGCTGTGACCTACATTATGTATGTAGATTGTAAAGAGATGCTGATGTGAAACTGAGTCATTTCTCCATTCCATTTTTTTCAACACTCTCTGATTCAAATTAAAGGCCTGAACTTCAAATATTGTCCAAAATTCAATTTAGTTTTTTCATATATCGCCAAGTCACAACAGAAGTCGTCTCAGGGACTGAACAGAACATTCATCTATAAAATAATAATGGAACAGAAACATTCATGTATAAAATAATAATTTAACATTATTTATCTGAGGAGCAGCTTTGAGTTTAACTCCATCACTGAACTCTCATGTTGAGCAAGCATGAAGGCGACAGTGGAAAGAAAAACTCCCTCATGAGGAAGAAACCTTTAACAGAACCAGGATCAGGACAAGAGGACCATCTGCTTCGACCGGCTGGGTTTGGTAGGAATAGATACACAATGGCAGGTCCAGAATCACATGTTAAGATAGAAATATTATCAAATGAAAACTATTCAATTTTAACAATTCATTTAAGGAAATGAGGTCAGTTTGTCCTCTAGTAGTCTAAGTCTATAGCAGCATAACAAGCCAACCCTAACTATAGGATTTATCAAAAAGTAAAGTCTTAATCCCAGTCTTAAACTGGATAATGTGTCAGCCTCATGGACAGAAACTGGAAGTTGGTTCCACAAGAGAGGAGCCTGAGAACTGAAAGATCTTCCTCCCATTCTGCTGCTGGAAACTCTAGGAACCACAAGTAAACCTGCAGTCTGAGAGTGAAGTGCTCTGTTAGTAAAATATGGAACAATAAGATCTGTAATATAAGATGGAACTAGGTTGTTGAGAGCTTTGTAGGTTAGAAGTAAGATTTTGAATTCTATTCTGGATTTGACAGGGAACCAATGGAGAGAAACTAAAACTGGAGAAATATGATCTCTCCCAGTAACTCCAGTTAAGGTTCAATGTTCTTTATTTGTCATTCTACCACATGTGGTGGAACGAAATTATGTTCACAGGGTCCCAGTTACATCCAACAATAAAATGTAAAAGAGAAACAGTAATAACATCTAAGACATGAACTAAAAAAAACATCAACTAAATATACACTAAGCACTCATAACATAAAACATTACGCCGGACAGCAGCACGAACATGAGTCTGTGTGAGCAGATTAATACGCATGAACACAGCAACATGAAACAGATCAGCAGCAACATGAAACAGATCAGCAGCAACATGAAACAGATCAGCAGCAACATGATATGGTTTTTCACAGTGATTCTCCTGGTTAGAGGTTCATGAGTCTAACAGCCTCAGGGTAGAAGCTGTTCCTCAGTCTAATGGTTCTACACTTAATGCTCCTCAACCTCCTTCCTGAGAGGAGTGGGGCAAAAAGTGTGTGTGCTGGGTGAGTGGGGTCCTTCACAAGGGCGTCAGAAGCATCCGTAATGTGGGGGGGACACAATGAATGTGTGTAGGTGTGTGTGTGTGCATGTTAGTGTGCACGTGTGCACGTGTGTGTGCACGTAAAAAAAAAAAAGGTGTTCACTAGTGAACTAAAAAGCGACATTTCTCCTACATTTCCTTTAATTCCACACATTTAAATAATGTTTCTCACTAAATTTGTGTAAATTCATCTGTGGATTTTAAAGACATTTTATCTTTAATAAACTTTAACACAGAGCGTCAGGTCAACACTATTTGTCTTTATAGAGAAATAAAAATCATCACCACTGGACTTTTTTACTTGTGTTCAACACTCCTCATCTAAATAATGTTTGTCATGAAGCTTGAGGACAATAAGGTGTGGGGGTTTAAACACATTTTAACTTTAATGCACCTGAACACACAGAGTCTCTTCCACCTGCAGCGTCTCAGTTACTGCTGAGACAAGATGCTACAGACGCAGCTCCTCTTCTCTCCTCCTAACATGAATATATGTTGATGATCAACCCCCTGGTCAACCACTGCCCGCACTAAGCTGCTAAACTGGAGAGCGAGTAACACAGGTACCTCCACCTCCTTCACCTCTGCGCATTTTCTGCGGAGACAAGAGGCAGGAAGGGACGGTGGAGAGTTGGAGGTAACAAGGAAAACATGGAGTGGAGTTTTAGTAGCTTGAGTATTCTCCTATTAATCAAGTGGAATGGATTCGTTCACTAAGAAAGAGAAACTGCACCGCCTGAACTAATGTTTTATAGTA